TATATAAATATTCAACTATTATATAGGTAACATGTAACTGCTTTATTATTTATATAATACTTTTTACATTTGTGCTCAGGGCTTTATGCACAAGTGACCGGACTCCGAGCCAAGAACCCTGACTTAAAAGTCCTTCTAGCAGTAGGAGGCTGGGCTGCTGGATATGAGCCTTTCTATGACGTCATGGGTTCTGCGGAGAATATCACAGAGTTCGCCAACAACGTCGTTGCTTACCTCAGGTCACAGAACATGGACGGGCTGGACATGGACTGGGAGTTCCCGGGGTCAAGGGGCAGTCCTCCAGAAGACAGAGAAAATTTTACATATCTTATGAAGGTAAATTTGTCTTCGTACTTCCTGCATTCGTACTTGTTATTTGGCAGAACTGCTTTCGTACAAACCTTTATCTATAACCCCCCCCCCCCAACCTCTTCTTTAAAAAAATAATTAGGTTGCTTTGTTTCTTTTTAAAGATGATGTCATAGCCGTCTGTAGATGGTTGGCGAGTGAATTGGTGTTTTTAGTAGGACATTTTGAATTTTGCCCCAGCGGCAGCCCAAGACTACTCTTATCGATTTTGGACTACCAAGGGATCGTTAAAGTGCGCATCTTGCACACAGGGTCTCCGAATTTTTTCGCCCCTGTCCGAGACGGCTAGGCGTAGATCTATCCTACCCTAAGATCAGGGGTGTGGCCGAAAGACAGTTGTAGGAAGGAGCCAAGGAATAGCAGTAGAAAAGCTGAAGAAAGAGTCAGGATCCCAGAGGAGGGGGCAAAGGGCGTGAGGGGGTGGGGACAGAAAGTGGAGACGAAAGCTAACATGACCAGTAGAGCTAATGTTTCTCTGCCCAATCAACAATGTGCTGACCATTTTAAGATAAGATAAGATAAAAATAATACTTTATTGTCCCAGAGGGAATTTTTTCTTGGCTGTACAAGACCGTAAAACACATGCAGGTATACATAAAAAATTAAATTAGATATTACTCTCATTAAAATCAAATATGAAAAGAAAAAGTAACGCTGACAAATGTACATATCACATCAGATGCACCATTCAACCACATATAGGAATTTTATTACAAGACCTTTAGAGTTATATAGAAACATACTTGAAAAAGCAATACACATTGATTCTATACGGACAGTAGCCTTTTTAAGCGTATCGATGGAGACTGAATTATATACTGTGCCCTTGTGCAAAGACGGGAATGAAAGAGCTAATAATACATTAATAGACGCATAAATACCGGTACTGGATAACATCAATGACATTTTATTCTGCCTGTTTCTTAAGACAGCAGCAAAAATACATGCACAGACTATAGATACCACCACAAAAGATAACTGCTGGACACACAAAAGGAAACTCACACAAACACAGTCACATACCCACCAAAAATGTGTTTCATTCAATTGTAACAGTGGTTGGCGATCATGTCAAGAATCAAACAACATTTATTGTCATTGTTACACTTGGTAATTATCCCATGCCATTGACATTGCATAGGTTTCATGTGTCTGTCAGCTTTTTTAAGTGGCAGTACCTCCGAATTTAACTTCCATCTCAGATCAAAAAGAGCCAAAATAGGTGAAGAGCCAAAAACTTCCCAAAACAATTCAAGTTTGGAACACCCTGTGGTGATTGGAACCATGGTGGAATGCTAAGAAAGAAAGATAGAATAACAAATAACTGAGCCAATTCCCACCCTATCCCAGATCCTGACCCCCTCATCCACCTCCCCTTCTTTTCACCCCTACTCATCGCTACCTCTTTTCACCCCCCCCCCCAAACAACACACCCTCCTCGAAAAAAATCCGCAAACCACTAACCTACCTGACCAACAACCACATTGAAGGGTAACGCGTTTCTCTCCCTGTCCCTGTGTTTCAGGAACTGTATACAGCGTTCAAAGAGGAGAGTGTCCGCACCAAAAAGCCCAAACTGCTGCTCACACTGGCGACTGCTGTAGGCTGGGACTATATCGTGGACGCTTACGAGCCCAGGCAGATATACCAGTCAGTTCTAATTTCATTTTTGCTTTTTTAAATTGACTCGTTTACTCTTCATTTCACCGTTGTCTGTGGTGTAGCGATTAGACACTTCGCTGTCGCAAACAGACACCATGGGTTCGAGTCAATCTTCATTGTAGGTGTTTTGGCTGTTTGTGTTTGAGCCGAAATTTTTCTTATCTTTTTGTGACATTGTCCAAGGGTCAGTGGAATTTGATTTATACTTCTGGTCGAGACTTTCTACTCCATGTCTTTTACTACAAATAATTTAACAAACTTTTACTTTTCTTTTAGTCTTTAGTAAATGTTTCACGGCACACGCAAATGCATAAGGTCACATGATAGTGCGGGACGCATTAAACATTTCCGGTTCGGTAGGAATTTGAACTTTGCACGGGTGGCGGGCGAAGCATACTGTTATCGATTTTAGGACCTCCAGGTGATCTTTAACATGCGCAACTTGCACACGAGACCTCCGAGATTGTTTGCCTCAATCAACGAAGACTAGGTGTTAGAAGATCTAACCTACCATAAGATCATGAGTGCGACTGAAAGACAGCAGTAAGAAGGAGCCAAGGAGTAGCAGTAAAAGCCCGCAGAAAGAGTCAAGAGCCCAGAAGTGGGGG